AAGTAGCAAGAGAAGAGGGGGTGAGGCGAAATTCCGGTAAGGAAGCGGTAAAAGGCGGGGGAAAAAACTGCTATAAGGACGCAATTCAAAGAAAATTTTCTTTCTGTGGATATTCGTGTTCCGGATCGAATACTCGGCGATTACCAAGCACTCGGCTAACTTACTTGATTAGGTTCGCAAATATTACTTTTTAGATAATTGAGTTAAACAATTTTTTTTTTTTTTTTGAAATTGGCTAATCCAGCTCTGAACAGTTTTAGGTGTAATTGAGATCGGTACTGAAAGTTAGCTCTAAGGTAGCCGATTGCGGTATTTTTGACAAGGATTTCCGACGGTGTGGGTACGATAGACTTTACATTTTGCCCTTTCCTTGAACATCTCTGCATTAGCTTGATAGGTTTTTTTCTTCTTCACATAATTGCTTATTCATGCAAAAATCATACTTTTTTGGCATGATTTCGCTCAAGCCCTAGACAGTTTTCATGGACCTAAAATTCCCATGAGTGAGACTTATAAGAGGCCAGTTAGAGACTGGAAAAAAAATCCGAATTGATGCTTAAGTCACGTTATATAATCCAATCAAAATACCGTCACTCGTCAAATTGTGTTTTTCCAAGCTGTCAAAAGCTTGCAAATTTAGCTTCCGCTCCCTTGTTGCTTTGTAAACTGCGATTTGCACAGAATTTCGCATAACAGCATGCCAAATTCTTTCTTTTGTTGTTATAGCATTTTTTCGAGTTCTACTACGTTAAGGGAAAATATGTGTTTTGCAAACAGAATATTAAAATGATCTTATATTTAGTCTACGCATAGTGTATGAATGTGTCGCTCTTCCCTGAATTGTCCTCATTCCTTGCATCCAAGACGTAGCGGAAAAAGCCGTATCCCATAAAAAACAATTCATTGGTCTGAGAAATTGAATTGCATTTTGTACTGTTTATGAGAAATGAAACAGCAAGTAGTTCTCTGTGTGTAAAATGTATATTAACACTTTTTGCCAAAAAAAAAAAACATTGAATTCTGTGGTTTTCAGAGGAAGACGTGCGGACACAGTGGAAGAATTTAAAAGATACCTTTAAGCGAAAACTGAAAAGGCGGCAAGCTGAAGCAAACGCTGGCTTAGAGGATGCTGAGCCAACTTGGCGCTTCTGGCACAAAATGCAGTTTGTAAAAAACAATTTTGGCCCAGACCGAAATCGATCCTCCTCGCTGAATAAGTAATTGTTATGGCTGTTTGGCAGTTAATAAAATTCGGCTCTGCACGGAGGTGCTGGGGGCCTGAAGTTATAGGCGGGTGGGGCAGCATGAATAGGGCTGGAGATGGC